ATCCTCTTAGCTACTAGTGGAATGACAGTCCTACCACAGAGGAATCACAAATGTGCTGTTAACAGCATTGTTTTAAAAGCCTGTACCTTAAATCTCGCTTGAAGTGGAAATTTGACTCTTTGGGCCCCAAACTTACCAATTTGGCACCTGCTTCCTTGAGCCTGAAATAACTGACAGTCACAGTCACCTGCCTCCGTGCAGGCTGCTCCATTAAGGCACTCCTGAGGACATGAACCTGTAAGCAAGCATTAGTAGATGGTATTAAGTAGATACTTTTAGTAGATACGGTATTTTGCAAACAGGCTGAGAGATCCACATTTATTCTGTTTATTGTTAAATCATAAGCAGCTATATTAGCTAAGAAAATTAACCGACAGCAATCTCCAGTTTTTAACATTTGCTTAATTTTATCCTTTGTGTTTCTTGGTTAAAAGAGAAGCAAGGTTCTCTCGTTTGGTTTGAGACTTGTAAACTAACAAAGGAGCAAAAGGTCAACCTCCTCCCAGCAAACAAAAGGTCAAGTTCCCATGTAAAGAAACCAAATCCCAGTCCCGCTGATCTCGAAATACACAGGACACAGATTATTCTAATTGACCAAATTCAGCACAATTTATACATATGTTCAGCTCGTCCCTCTTAAGCATTGCAGCAAAGGGTACATTCAGCTTACGAACAGTCCAGAATATATAATTTACAGAGGCAAAACCAATTATAAATAACCTTCCTCCCATACTAAAAAGAGTCAGTTAAAAGGTTATTTCTGCTTAAGAGGTGACTGGAGTCAGAGACTTAAGATTCCATGGGAATGGCTTATTTTATGTTATAATTAGTAATTGTTTCTAGAAGCAGTTTCATTAAAGGGTTTTATAGTCTGTTTGGAAGCTAAGACCTCACTGTCATCTACTAACAATTCACTGAGGTTGGTCTCAACCATAGTTCCCCAAAAGTGGAGAAGAAAAGTAGTCCAAAAGCTAAATTTCATCAGGTTTTGCAGAGAGTTGCTTTCCTTCTTGGGGGAGGATTAATGTAGATACAAACACTTACAGTCTTGCTGATGGAGATTTAAAAAGTGTTGCAAAAAGCAGGAACTAAATGAAATAAACAGGCCCTTCCATGCCCAATGATACCATGGTAAAGCTGCTAGTGACATTAAGTGGGAACAAAATGGGACCTTTACAGTAAGGCACACACACAAGTTACCAATGATTCAGAATATCAGCCTTCACTGTGAAAACTCCTTGCCATGCTTACTTTTGAATTTTTGCCATTTAAGAATTGCTTTCCAAATATACACAGATACTCTGAAAATACCAACAAGGCAGAAAATTCTGTTTATAGAACAGCACTAATGTGGAAAACTTCTTTGTTGCTGTTAGAATTGTGAGCTGTAAAATTACGTATATTAATTTACATTGAAAAACACAACAGAAAGCACCTACCAAGGCATATATATTTTCCAAGAAGGATACCAAAGTTCAGTTGCATACAATGAAATTTTCTGCAAAACAACTTCTGTAACTTGGACCTGCTTCACTGGTTTGTACAATGCTTAAAACCCTCCAGGAGCTCAGTGTCTGAGCACTGCTGTCCCTTCACATAATCAGTTACACACCTCTCAGATATCCTGACATCTTCTGCCAAGGCCAGAAAAAGTGGCAGAAAAGAAAAACTGCAATGGAACTAAACTTTAAAAAGAAAAAAAATGAAAGGATTGGCTTAGTTAGCTGTTCAGATTTGGTTGTAAGGCATTATTTTGAAAGTACAATATTAAAGGGAATTTTCCATGATTTAACATGGATAAAACTCAAAAATTAGTTTTGTAGGGGACATTATGAGGAGGGCTTCCACAATGTGTGGTAATGCAGGAGAGCTGGTAGGAAGGCAGCATTTTCAGGAGCATCTCTCCTCCCATGTGTGAGGATCACAGCACTGACCTCCTGGTGGACTCCGTGTCAAGGCCCCATGAAGGTGCGACCAAGGAGAGGCAGATCGAATCTGTCAGAGAAACATAAAAGCAGAATCAGGGTGTTTGTGCTTTGCAGATGAGCTGATACAAGCCTTAGGCATTGCAGCCTGATGCTGGGTTAGGACTTTGAGAGTTATTTTAATACAGAAGAGTAACTTGCAGCTTGGCCAGCATAGGGCATGGCCGCAGACACTGCGGGAGGGATCAGCAGCCTGGGACGACAGGGAAGGCAGTGACCATGGCAGCCAGCACCATGGGAAGGGAGAGCACAGCTTTCAGAGGGGCTGGGAATGATATAGCTGCACCATGAGATCACCACCAGCCTCCTCTCCATGTCCTCCACTTTGCCAGTGTCAATGAACAAGCGGGGCTCCACCGGGGGCCTTTTGCATCTACATTTGGGAGGAAGAGTGAGGGAATGGAGAGCGCTCCTGCCCTTTTCACTTCGGTCAAATACCATTAGTTGGAGAGCTCAGAGATGGGATAACGCACCATTTCCTCCTCTCCCCTAACTCATGCTCTGTGCTGCGCCCTGAGCATCCTGTTGTGGCCAGTCCAGCTGCGATGGATTTCATGTCCTCCTTGAGATCCTTCAGAATTGCATTGCAGATCATCCCAAACAACAGAGGAGGCGGATCTGCCTGATCTGCTTCCTGTCTCGTTAAGGCACCAGGGAGCCTCGGACTATAAGGAAGCTCTGGATCTGACCCAGCACTCTGCTACTGCAGTTTGTCACGTCTCATCATCCCTTCCAAGAGCTGCTCCCATTCCAAGCTGAAAGCACTCTGGGGTTTTTGCCCCCACTAGTCTGACTGGAAAGTTTACCAGGGTGAAGTGCTGGGTAGTTAGATATTTCCCTCTTACACTTATTCATGGCCAGTTTAAATCCTTTTGGTTTATAAAGTTTGGCCCTTTTGCTTAAATAGCTCTTCTTCCCTGTGGTTTGTTCTCTCTCTGATGTACTATGAGAAAACAGTTACCCTTCTGTGCTCCCCACAGACATATACACCAGCCTTCAGCTGTACAACTAAGCAAAACAAATTGTCTAAGTCTTCTCTTGTAAGCTAATTTCTTTCTTCCCTCCTGCCATCAGTCATTCTCCACGTCAGGAGTTTGAACTAATGGATCTCAAACTGAGTGAACAGCACTGCACAAGGAACAGGTTAGGTTAGGTCTCACTAATGACTCGTACAGTGACATAAAAACTTCCCTTTTCCAACTTGAATACCTCGTGGGAAGCATCCAAGTAGCACAATCTATCTAAAATCAACCTGAAATGGACTTCTTCAAATCACCACCTGGAAGGCCCCTGCACCAAAATTATTCCTGGTCCCTGTGGCCTGTTACTAGCCAGAGAGGATCCTGTCCCTCCCTGCACAACAAGACCCGTTTCCATTTCCCCTGATGGTTACTCTGAGCCTTCCTCCTCAGGAAAGCAGCTTTTGGCCTTTGTGTTATTTTGGGGAGGCAGAGCACCCTTGCTGCGACAGCATTTTCCTCCTGAAGGCCCTCCTGGGAGACCATCAGTCACACAGGGCTGCTTCCCTCAGAGGCTCAATTTGCCTGAGCGCAGTATTTCACACCAGCTACCTTCCCAGCTCGGTCAGGAGACATGTAGGTCTCAGAGGTACTCACAGAAAACCATCCATGGCTCGGCTGCAGGCTCCCCAGAAGGCCATGAGCAGGGACTACCTTGGGCTTCCTGCCTGCCTCCATCAAATGGGGTTATAACCCTCGCTTGGGCTCTGTAGCATGTGGCGTGTACCAGTGGGGGAATGAGATTCCCCCGTTTACTATTAAATTTGAGTGCAACATTGCTGGGATGCAGTGTTGAGGCAGCAGTGGGCTGGGGTGGTGGGAACCTGGGCCACCACCACACCATATGTGGGAGGGAGCCTTGCCAGAAGCACCGCCATTTTGCCTCTCACCAAGCACGAACAGCTTTGCGGGGAGCTCTGTTCGCCCTCACAAAGGATGGAGGCATTGCGGCTTTATTTCCCATGGTCTGCGTCAGGGTGGGTCACCCACCAGGGCTTTGCTGAGAGTGAATGAAGACATGGGGCCACGGGCTCAGGCCGGGGGCAAGCAGGTAGGGAATAGCTGCTCCTCCTCACTGTCCTCCTGTTACCGCGGCCCTTCTCCCCACAAAGGCTCCTTTGTAAGGGCGGCAAAGGCCAGGAGCAGAAAAGGGGGGAGGGTTTCCCCCTCCCTCCTGCTTTTGGAGGTATAACCTACCTCGGCTGTTACGAGATCTCTTTTCTGTCGAGTTGCATTAAACTCATTTCTGGAAGAAAACAAAAAGGATCTTGTATAATCAAAGGTCTCTGGAGCAACCTGAATAAGCAGCTCCCCAGAGAGAAGTGTTTCTCTCTGATTACCATCACTTTATCAAAGAGGTCTTTCTTGGGTTAACATTTAAAAAGGTGATTTTTCTGTCTTTTTCTTTTTCTTCTTTTCATTGTCTCGTTTTACAGACTTGGGCAGCACTCCGATCTCTGCTTCGACAGGGAGGTACCTGGAGCTTGTGGGGCAAGATGTAAATAGGCAAAATAGGCTCACATGACAGGATACAAAATTGTAAAGAAGCTTCATATTTACTTGACACTGCGTGTGAGTGGCCCTGAGTCCCCCAAGTGTTACTTGAATATACTGTGATGGCTCTCGAGCTGTAGCTGACTTGAATTTGTGATTAAGTTTAGAAACAAGGGCATCATACTATAAAATGTACTTAGTTTTATCAACAGTCCAGGATGGCATATCATCTGATGTGCATGTGTGTTTGCTAGATGTATTAGAGGTCATTAGACATCTGAAGCTACGTCCGATTGGATGCTTCTATTGAAATTGATGGCATAGTTCCCATTTAATTCAATGGGATCAGGAACATTCCCTAGTTTGGGTTTTGTTTGGATTTCAGCTTCTGCATGAAAACTTGTATTGAAAATGTTTATTTTAAGACTGTATAGCACTTACTTTTCTGTGCTTCAAATAGCAGCTAGGATTTTATCATGCAATTAAAACTGTAGAAGGATACTCATTTAATGTATTTTTCCAGTCATGAAATCATGATCTCATCTTGGTTTCATTCCATTATTCCTCTAAGCTTTCTCAAGACCATAGAAGTATCATTTTTCATAAGGACGTCCATTTTTCAAACAGAGGACCCGTGCCCTTTATGTAAATTCTTTGAAAACAGCTGTAAACATTCTGAAAGTGTGTTTTACATCCAACGTACATGTACATGACATTTTACATGTTGAATTCAAGGCTGTATTTTATTTTCTAACTTGCACTGCGTCACACTTATTCATTCTTGTTCTGTTTGTAGGACTTGACAAATAAGGAATCAAAACTTACCTTGAAGTTCTTCGCAAAAGAGAAAGCTTGCAATAAGATCCTGTAGATTAAAAAGTCAAGTTAAATGTTTTTTCTACAGCCTCACTCTGCACTTGGCAGACAATAGTTTGTCAAGTTTAAAACAACACTATTGAATTTTGTTCTTTAATGATCCTAAGTTTTCCAGAGCATTTTTACACACTTTTTTTTGTTTCCAAGGGATGTAGAACTATATGCTTTCCTTCCTGAGAGTTTGATTCTCTCAAGTATTCATCACCTGCAGGTTTCCATGGTCTCGGTTCTGGTACGTGCTACCATGAAAAACAGCAGAGTTCATAGTTCTTCAGAGGCTCAGAAGAAAACTGATAAAATATAAAGGTTGCTCAGAGCTTTCCAGAATCAAACTTCTAGGGTGGTTACCGATAATAATTTTCCAAATGTTACTTGCAAGACTGAATTGTAAATAATTTTAAATGCTCTAGAGTCCATGCTTAAAAACAAACCAAACAAACAAACAAACAAAAACACAAAAAAAAACTTCTTTCTCATATTGCCTTAGAAATCTTTATAATTGCTACAAGAAAACTATCTACAAGATCCATTTGCATAGAAAATAGGATCATTTCTATAACCAGAAAAGCGATTATTTACCCTCACAGTCTAAAAATGCTTAAACAAACTGCAGGTACAGTCTGTTCAAACAAAATCATACCCCATTGAAAATCATTAGATGCTTACTCATCTGACAATAGTGTCAAGAAAGCCAAGAAACTTAAATTTGGTTCCTAAATAATTGTTTTGTAACAAATTCAGATATAAAAATGTATCTAAAAAAAAAAAAAAAGCTGTATTTTAATTTCTACACCTGTGAGAGAGAATGGTGATATATAGTTTTTCAACCTGCTGTGTTAAAAACTTTTTTATTTATGAATTCCAGCAAGGGTCAAAAACATTGCTATTTAATGATATAAAAAGAAGGACCTGTAATATTAAATTATTTAGAAAAATCTTTTTAAAAGTTAATACTACCACAAAAATTAAATAAAGTTCTTACCTTGCAGAGAGGATAGCAGTGAATGAAGCAAGAATATACTCCACGGTATCATTAAACTGAGCTTTCCCACAATGTTCATTTCAGTATAACTTAGTAACAGGAAATTTATCCAAATCAATGGCTTTGGTTACGATGGCATCTTAGAACTATGTATTTCTACAGTGTTTTTAAATCCTTTAGAAGTTAGATAGTTGGATGCATAGTTTAAAATAATGCAATGCAAAAAAGGAAAAGAAAAGGAGACATCAAGCTTGGTAGCTACATACAGCTTCAGGAGCTCTGCAAGTGTTGGATACAACTTTCTGGCTGCATGTCTCTCATTAGCAATGCATGGTAACTCCTCAGCGGAGTCTGTATTAGTTACACTTTCACTAGACCTGCGAGTATTACTCCTCTGTTGAATTGAATCGGCCCTTTATAACCTAGCAGACAATGACATCGAAATGTTGCCATGTCATGATGGTTTGAGAGTTCCTTCAGTCGTCACACACCTTTGTGCGCTTTGAGGCTTGCGCCGAGCGCTGCCCTTTACTGCTTCCTACAATGAAATATTTTTGCAAGACCCCGCAATGATGTTACTGTATAAATTATAACCAGATAGTTTTAGAGATTAACTTATTAATGTTCCTTATCTGTTCTAAAAGGAGAGACGTGAACTTCCATTAAATAATACACTCAGATTTTTAAGAATATTTTGGATATATTTTTGTGTATAGTTTGCTTATATCACAAAAGAAGGCTTCCCAGAGGATGATTATATTTCTTTTTTAATAAAAAATGTTATGACATTTTCATATTAGCAAAAAGGAGAAAGAAGTCAACAGGGCCAACAGGGTTTTTTTTCTAATTTTCATTAAAATATAAAAATATAATTTCACCAAAGTTAAAAATGATCATATTTTAAAATAGAAAAATATCATCTGCTTTACCCTAACATTAATAGAATCATTAAAAAGCGCAGGTGTTTAAAGACACATGTAACTCTGATTGAAAGTGCTACTGCTGTTATTTTGCGAAGCCTGTCTTTTGCCTGACCCTCCACTCTTCCTAGGATGCACTTTGTGAGACCCTCTGAGCATGCCACAGAAGGTGTGTTTGGACCAAAATAAAATGTAGAAGCTGATGGCCTCTCTCAGGTAAGAAGTTCTCCCATCATTTCTTCTAGCCCTTTCTCTTCCCCACTCCTCAGCTGGACTAGAAGAGAAGGCAAAAGAAAAGACTCAACCTCTCCAGCCACAAAGACCAAACCATGTATCCCAACAGCAGCCAACAGTACTCATGCGGGTTTGGGACCACGGGCAGCCCAAGGATACTTATTGCAAACTGATATATGTTATAACACTACACTGTGTTTGGAGTATTTCTTAAGAATTATTTTTATTATTGTTGGATCTGAGAAGCTGACAGTCACACAACTGGCATTTCAAGAGGTTTTTGGTTTGTTTTCACTTCTGACTAGCTCTAGGCTGGTCCCACGGGCCAGCTGCTTATCTGCAGCTGGACTGCATCTCCCAGCCTAGTTTCATCTGCTCTGTGTGGTCAAAAACCACTCCAGACTGCGAACAGAAGCAAAAGAATTGAGTTCCTGATCCAAATTGACACAGTCATGTAGTCATACTCACAGACTCTGAATAATTATGTAGGCACCTATCTTGTAGGAGGTGACAAAGGCTAATCACCCCCTCACGAATCCACTCTTAGAGGACAATGCCTCAGGTTGCTCTCAAGCTGAGATGAATCCAAGTGTTAGAGCTTCCAAAATTCCATTACCAGACTCCAAGTTTTCTTACTTTCAAGCTAAGTCTGGTTTAGAAACTGTTTACCTGGGATTCTTCCCTTCCTCAAGACCATATTTCACACCATGCTTCATATGCAGCTTCACAACTAAACCTTTCCATTAATATAAATGAACCCTTAATTTAACAGAAACTATCAAAAATTGCCTTTTTTTTTATTTTTCTATAGCGAAGTTGAGGGAATATTAGGTGCATGTTAGTATTTCACAGCTGTTTAACTTCTGATATTTAAAAAGTAGGCCAACCCTCACCAGCTGCCAAGGGACTTTGTGAGAGTTAGAGCCACAGATTTCTTTAGATCTGCATATCTCTGCTTAAGGCAGGGTAGGAAATGGCACAGTCCCAAGCACATGAAGGATGTTAGCTAATAAGGAAAAAGAATTATTCAGCCAAGTACACTGGAACTGTAACTCAGAGAACTATATTAAGAAAGAGACACAAAAAAATCAAATCAAATTATATCTAGACAACAAAACATTATCTACACAAGTAGTAGAATACTCACAGATTAAGACTTCTGAAAAAGTGAACAGAAAACATGCATTAGAAAATAATCACTTGTAAGAAAATAAACACAATATAGAACACTCTGGTCCATACCTAAAAAATGCTAGTGTTACATTTTTAAGTTCCAGATATTTCTTTAAAAATAAAATGTAAACATTTCAATATTAATATATTTGTACATTACAGTCAAAATTAATTTGCTCCAAATTTTCCAACATAGTATTTGAGAGGACTTAATTTTATATAAAGGTTACACAGTTTATCAGGATTACAAACAACGGGTGAGGAAAATAACCACCTTCAGTGCCATGGGTACAAGCTTGCCCTGATTTGGAATTGAATCCACTGGCATCATTAACAAAACACGGTACTTTTTAGAGCTCACACTCCAGCCTTCACTGAACTGGGGTTTTCAATGAAGAATTCAAGTGAGGCCACATTTTGATGTGCATACCTGATCATCCTGAGGAGTAGCATCAGTGAAACTAATGAAAGAGCTGGGCAATAAATTAGGGGCATTTATTCTGTTCCAAGGACCACGTCCACAGCTGCTCAAGAACTCGCTAGGGGCTTGAAGATCAGACTGTTACTATTTCTCTGTGGGAGCGTGTCTCTGGCCAGAGCAGATGCTGAATGACAAGAGTTTGATTGCCATCCCTGCAGAATCAGGACATCAGGAAAAGAAACATTTTTATGAACAGGTTTTCTCCTCACACCTCCAAACTTCACGGTAGTTACGCTTCCCCTACAAAGTTAAGCCCTCTAGTGGGTGATCAGTAAGTAACCATTTAGAGCAAAAACCTTCAGCCACCCAGGCAGACACCAGCCCAGTCCTGAAAGCATTTCTCATTTAGAAAGCAAATCTGTGGGAATGACATCACTCTACAGGATTAATGAGGCATTTTTATAGGATCGGAGTTCAGTTCAGAAAGCATTTTTATTATGCCTTTTGGTTGAAGAAATGACATGCAGATATCATCTCTGGATATATTAGTAGCAATGCAAGTTTTATTTTCAGCCCTTCCATAAAAGCACAGCAAAACAAAAATCTGCAATTGTTACGAGCTGTTCTGTGGGCAGAAAAACTGACACATCGGGTTTCCCCATAACTGTGAAATCCACCCCTAAGGTTACCGGCATCAGGTGTTGTATCTCCCCCTGCCTCCCTGACTGTCACACCTCAGTGTCCTCTCTCCTTCCCTGCATCCGACTGCTCTAACAGCCAGGCAACAATCAGTTTTGGACAAGCTACCGCGCAGGGTGCCTATGTGCCAACTGGCAGGCCAGTACACATTTCCCAAGCCATGAGTGAGCCATTGCTTTTGAGTCACCGCACGAGCCAAACAACTAAAAGGATTATTTTTCCTCAGCTGAAGCTAATTAACATCGATCAAGACGCCCATTTTCACAAAACTCACAGGAATTCAAGTAATCAAATTTGAAGTTAGCCTTGCATAGCATCTTTTCCTTAGAAAGCCAGGCTAGGAGGCAGAACGTCGCAGTTTTCAGCAGCCCAAGAACCAGAATAGTTTGCGAGCAACACTACTACAAGGTAGAAACTCTGAGGAACTCACTGGGACAAGAAATGGGTCAGATCTGAGGGTGCAGAAAAGGGGGGGACTGAGGAAAGCAAACCACACTTCTTGCCAAAGAGACAGCAAGTGTCTGGAATAGAATATCGCGTTCACTTAGTGTAAGACAAAAAATCCTGGTATGTAAATTGGCGACAGAATATACAACAGTCTCTCTCACTTCAATGGGAGCATGAGGGGTTTGAACAAGAGTGCTCCACTTCTATTCAGGTCATGTAATGCAGTATTTTGTGGCAGATGCTGAGAGCTAAAATAGGAGATGGATGGAGAATTACTTTTTAGAAGGAATTTGTTCAAGTTCCACATTTAACTCTTGAATAACTACACTTCAGTGAAGATGCCTTAAATGCTTTTCTACAGAAAAAGCAAAGAGACACCATAACAAATATTAACATTTATAAAAAGCTCTGAGCACCTATTTTCCCAAACTAGAGCAAAAAGGGCAAAATGGTACTTATTCTTTCCAATTCCCCCACCCAACTCCCAAAGGAAGCTGGTTTAAATTTGTGTTGACCGAGTACACTGAAATGACCTACCATCAAAGAAGTGAGAGAAGAAATACCACATTAATAGAAAGCCCAACAGAAAGCTCAGGTATGAAGCTGCTCCTATGACAATTTCAGTGGTGGCATACAAGCATACGATAGCCAGAAAAATACCAGGCTAAGAGAGCAATACAGCAGAAGCTCTCGGTTGCTTCATCTCCTATGTTTCTTCCAGTTCCTCTGCAAACTGCTTTTCAAACAGAGGAAACTACAGCCCAGGGCTGTTCCCATGCCTGTTGGGCCAACTCATTTCCAAGGCCTCACTCAATTACTTGCAACTCTTCCAAGAGACAGAATTAGCCTTTCCAACAGCCTTTTGTTGGCACATCCCACGCCTTACTCAGAGCTTTACTCTTCTTCTTTGTCCCTGGGAGATCACTTCCAGAACAAAAAAATCTTCCGTTTCAATGGATAAGAGACTAAGGACTTCTCCAACATTTCTTTTCCTGTTTGATACACACACACCCTAGCTAGATCTTTTAAAATTACTGTCGTATTTTCAACCCCACTTACTTCCCTAAGGCCTTCAAACTGCCTCACCTGGCTCACAACATAAGCAACTGTCTAGCTTATCCCGAAGGGATTTTTCTGGTTTTTGGATTAAATCATTTAATGTTGTTCTCCAGCTCTACATCCCTCTGTGCTTGTACTTTGTGAGCATGTAACTGAAGGATGAATAATTTAAAACCAATCTTATTTGTAACACAAAGTCCTCTGGTTTACATTTACAAAATACTATTTTTGAAACTGGCTATATGGGGTTCGTTTACGGTTTGGGGGTTTTTTTGTTTGTTTGTTTTTTTTAAAAAAGAAGTGTCTAGATTTAGGCTAATAATCCAGAAAACCCTGCCTCTGTATTATCTGCTATGCCAAGATTTCAATAAACCTCCCTCATCTGCCCCCAAGTTTGACAATGTAAACTTTAAATACAAATCTTAGAACAGCTGCCCGAATACCTACTTCGGCACTATGTTGAGGGAGTTACCCTCATGGGGGTAAATCCCTTGCCACTAAGCAAACACAAACAAAAGCATAAGCCAACACAAACAAAAGCAGTTATGCAGACCCACGATACTCATTGCCATCTAATATCCCATAGCGGTGTTTGGAACTCCACTCTCAGTGTGGTATTTCAGGTGAACATACAAGGAAAACAGAAGTCCTTTGCAAGATGAGCTGCCAGTGCCAAAGTGAACACGGAAAGATGCTTCATGTGCTGCATTACGCTAGGGCAGCATACTAAAGCAATTCACAGAACACAGGATGTAGAATTTACCAGCCACAAGTCATATCCACGCTCCCATGCACTATGGACTAAGTCTGTAACCAGGCTGACAAGTCATTTTCACATGGGAAGAATGTGGGCTACTCATGTTGGTTCGTAACACCATAAAGAGTGGCCATCCAGGTACTGGAAAAGGTACGTTTGTTTAGATTTACCAAAAAGGCGAAGATTGAACTCTGTTTTAATGAGCTGCCAGTGTTGCATGTACCCACAAAAAAATAGGATGTAAGCCTTCTTTATGTTCTGATAACCACATATTCATCACCTGGAGAAAGCTTTTCATCATTCCCACGACCCCATCTATCTAGACTTACTATGAAGGGATAAAAGAGGATTGGCAACAGTGCTCTGATTTTACTTTAATACCAATCAATTTGTGTCTCAAACTTAACACACAGTGAAAAATTTACCCACACAGAGAAATGCAACTCAAACATGAAATTTATCAAATTCTCTTGATGTTTATTGACTGTCACATGACCGCAGAACAATTTTAACGGTAAGACTTCTGGTAGCGCGCACGAGCACCAGGTCCTCCAAATTTCTTGGATTCACAACGGCGAGGATCTGCAACCAGCAGAGTCCTGTCATACTGGATTAGAATATCCTTGATCTCTTTCTTAGAGGCTTCATCAACATCTGTTTTAAAAAAAAAAAGAAAAAGTCTTCACTTTAAGAAGTTTCACATGGAACAAATCCACATTCACTTTTTTTTTTTTTTGCACCAAAACTACCAGAAGCCACACATCTCCACTTAAGGCTAATACAACAATCAAAACAACTTACATTTTTGATAGTAAGCCACCAATGCTTTGGAAATAGCTTGACGGATAGCTGTTCAAAAAAAAAAAAGATAATGGATCAGTAAGGATTGCAAATGTACTTAAACACAGAGTGCCAGTTATCTGAGAAACTTGCCATTGTCTTTTCTGCCAAATTGTCCCTTCCCTCCTTAACCTCCCCTCCCACATACTCCACGTGACCTTTACTTTGGCAAATCTGAAGCAGTCTGTGCCAGGAGGCCACCCACAGCTCATTTGTTGATTTGACAACTGCCAGCTAGCCAAGGAATTGTACAAGGGCAGTCCTGATCACATTCTCTCCCGAGTACTAACATAGGTTCATATTCTACCTACAAGCAGCCAACTTTCAAAATCCTTAGGAGTTCTCTGAAACGTCTGTACTTTTCAACAAGGATAAAATTCATCAGTGTGTTTAAAGACTAAGAAGGCAAAAGGGACAACAGGATGGTATGAGCAGTTCTTCCAGCATACCTCAATAAAACAAGCCTGTAGCGTAGTAACACAGTAATCAGAACTGAAACCAGAAAGTGCAGGGGAGTAATTGTAAGGATTTTGTTAGGCTTTAATCTGTCAGACCATCAAGACCAGGATTTTCGTGAGTATCTGAATTTTCTGAAAAATTAATGCCATCAACTTTGAGACTGAAATATGTCTCTGCTCTTTATGCAGCTTCAGCTCCACTTCACTAACCCACACCCAAAATGAAAGAGCAGAACAAATCTGTCATTTGTAAAGAGCAACTCTATCAACAGCTAATGCAAGGATGTTGTCCGTCTTCGCTGCAAGGGAAAAAACTGCCTAGCTTTGCAGGTCAGCTGAAAGATGCTGCTGAACAACATTGAAATTTACAACTAAAGATACAATTTCTAAGGATAAATCCCCTTTTCTCCACCCAAAATCTTTGATGCACTTGAACTGTCTGGTCACATTGCAAAATGCAAAGACTGTTTCCTCACATTTCCTCAAAATTTCATCAACTTACTTCATTCAACTTACTCTAGATGTTACAGCTTTGCACATTAAAATAGAACCCTTATGAAAAACTATACTTGAGCAGTAGAAAAAGAAACAGAACATAGAGATGCACAAGTTACTACTCTAAACTCAAGCCTCTTAGATGTGTGGCTCGACCTGTTCTAGCGTACAACAGAGATTCCACCAAAAATCATACCGTAGATTTGTGCTACGTGGCCACCACCCTTTACACGGACTCTGATGTCAACACCAGCAAACCGTTCCTTCCCCAGGAGGAGGACAGGTTCAAGCAGCTGGGAAACAAAACGCAGAAAGAAAATTAATTTGTGATCAGAAACAAGGATTAGAGCTTGCAGTAGGTTTACCAGATGTGAAGTTATTCAATGTTCTGAAAAGTGGAGCCTTGATCTTACAACCACGCACCCAATATAAGTACACCTCTTGCAGAGTTCTTTGACATCTACTAGTGCTGTTATAAATTTACTGAAGTCTGGAATGTATTTAATTTTTAAGTTTCAGAAATCTTAATAGCAAAGCATATGCACATGGGAATTAAAAGCAAGGGAATAGTTTAAGTAAAATGCCATAACTGCATCAGAAAAAAAAATAAAAACAAGTTTAAATTGAAGATCTTAAGTAATTTGTGGGTGGTTTTCTCCACTATTTATTACATTTTACAGTTACCTAGTCAGTTTTAGATTCTCTCAGCAGTGTTCAAACAGTTGTTTTATTAAGTCCTAGACAATCTTTTAAAAAGGAGGGTATTAAGTCACCCATTTCCATTTCAAAAATAGATATGAACGGCTGAAAATACATCACACAATTACATTAACATCATTAACATACAGGAATCCAGTTAAGCAAAAAGCCCGCCCTTCCCAACAAGGCGATCACAGGACAGTTTTCTGAATTTTCACAGCAGCATCTACACTTCAGTGAGTCAGGTAACACGCAACGAAAAATTCAGTACTGTCAATAAGGCAAGCAATATTTGTCCTTTCCCAAACAATTACGCTTATAATGGTATTTTACCACCCAAGACAGGTGGGCAGGCGGGGGGGGCTGGCTGGATGCTTACTTTATACTGCAGAGTTCTGGGCTCAATCATTTCCAGAGGTCTTCCATTCACCTTAATGAGGCCATTTCCTCTCTTGCAGTGGGCAACAGCGGTTGCTGTTTTCTAAAAATCCGAATGTGCATTAGTACAGCATTTAATTTTTGCACTAGCAGTATGAAGTGAATGTCTATTGAATTTTAACAATCTAAAAATCTTAGTGTTATGGCCAAGATTAACATCTCATACTAAACAAAACAGTACTGCTCCTTACATCCCCGGGTATTCGCTCAAAACATTAAGGCAACGTCTTAATACAATTATATTTACTTCATAATTATAAATACTATATAATTGTAATATTTAGTTATAAATAAGTGAAAGACACCCTCTCCATTCTGCAATGCCGTATTTTTGTGGCTCGTTTCCTCCCGAGAGCCTGTTACCTAGGATTATTCGAGCCACTGGACCCCAGCAGTGCGAACTTTACCTTCCCACCACCGCCTGGTAACGTGGCTCTCTGACACCGGCAATGATGAGCCAGGCCCCTATGGCCTGCACACGACACCGGGGGCCGCTACCAAGCGCTCCCGAGAGACAGGGCAACACTCAGACATAGAGGACCCGGGCCCACTCAATGAAAGAGCAAATCTCTCCCCCAGTTCCCGCGCGGCCCCGGGGTCACGGCACGGCGCGGCCCAGCGGGACACGTGGGCTGCCGAGCAGGCCTCCCCACCGCCGGCCCTCCCGA